TACACAACCAATCTTCCAAACAATCAGTAAAAATGTGCAGAGCAAGAAACTGATTTGTTTCTTCTCGTCCTTTCAGCTGAGAACAGCCATGGTGAAAGGCGAGACCGGCAGCATGAGCCTCAACATCCGAGCATCTGTGGACAAAGGGGTGAGGAAGCCATCCGTTCTTACAGTGTTAATGAATGTTGTTTTTAATATAACACCCAAAATGATTTTCAAACAAGTGCATGTTTGGTCTGAATCACTGGATTTTATCAGGTTGGAATGATGCAAATTCAATCATCCCGGAAATTAAACTGTCCCTCACCCTTCAGTACGTGGTTGAACGCTGTTCAGCCACATTTAGTTGGAACCCTCAAAGTTTTATTTGACTTTGTAGTGGGACATCCCATAGTTACATTTTGCAATTTATTATTTGTGTGCTTTCATATTATCTTTACCTTTGTTGATATCAAATACCCTCAGCAGAGCATCATGTAGACTAGATTGTTCACTGTGGAATTGGAACACACCTGTAGTTTCCCTCCAGGTCAGTAGTTGGCAGTAATGCACCTTTCGATTCAGGCTGCTTAAACCCAACGAGATCTCATCCTCTTACTGGCCTCCATGTCATTGGCAACTGATTGTTGTGTTTTAATGTGTTACATTTCTGTTAGTGAACCACAAAGGCTCAGGCTAACCATTAATATCACGTCAGCTTATCACACTTTTTAAAGGTTCAGTGTGTAGAATTCAGAGACATCTAGTGGGGAAGTTTCACTGCAGCTGAACACCCCTCACCTCACCCTCCCCTTCCAAACATGAAAGAGAACCTGTGGAAACCATTGTCATAAAACGATGTTTAGTTTGTCCTGTCTGGGCTACTGTAAAAACATGGCTGCCTCCGTAGAGAAGACCTGCTCCTGATGTAAATTATACATTAATACATACTATTTAAATATAAATATAAAAGGCCCATTCTAGGGTWAAGAAAACAACAATTCCTACAATTTAGATGATCACACAGTAGTGAAAACACCACAAGGATTATTTTATATTTGATTTCTACCAATAGATACATTTCACCTAAATCTTACACACTGGGCCTTTTAAAGAAGCCTATAGATGCAAACATTAAGATGTTAATTTAACCATCACCATATTTGAGGAATAAACAAACCTGACAGATATTGACCTAGAGGTGCAGCTGGTTTCGTTTTTAGTTTTTTTTTGGATGATGTGATGTGTGGATGAAATGTTCGCAGTGAATGAGAGGCACTGACTTTACTGATGTTTCTCTTCTCTTTAGAAAAGACCTCTGTTTATTGTCAATGACTACTTCTACACAAACATTGATGACACCCCTTTCAGGTAAATCAGCTAGTATTTCTTAAAATACACTGCTGTGATGCTGTTTCTGTGTATTTGAGTTGGTCATCTGACAAAAGTCAACATCAGACGTACAAAAGATCCATGCAAAATAATAATATACATTATTTATATTAATAATTATCATTCTAATCACCATCATCAAAGTTCCTCTGCTTCTTAGTATATTCTCTTTATCAACATGTGAGACTTATGCTGTTTTCTTCCTTTTTTCTATGTTTTACACCAAGTGAATATTATGATGATGTGAGGGGTTGATGTTAAAAAACTTGAGTTATTCTATTCACATCTTAAGATAAGAGTATGTGCGACTGTACCTGGAAGCTGGTCATTTTAATGAAGCACTATTAAAAAGACAGGTTAGCCACAGGTTAGCCACTTGTGTGCAAAATGAAATACTGGAGATGATCCTAAATCACTTCAGTCAAATCTGAAGTCTAGATAATTATATGATAATATGTCGATGTAGCAGAGACAAAGTTGAACTTGCATTTTTGATTTGCACAACAGTAACTTGTGAAAACGTGGGCAGAAATATGTAGTTCATGTTGATGCTGTGTCAATAGATTAAAACTGCAACACAACATGAGAATCATTCATTTAAAGCCATACGTGGTCCTCTTTTTTCGATAGAATAACCCATTTGTAATTTTTCTCAATCATACAAGCATAGCGTTCTTATATTTTTTGTCTCTTCATAAAAAATACTTGCTTATACATTGTGATCACTTATTTGTCGCTGTCCTATAGCAACATCAGTGAGAATCCTGACCGCCAGAAAGTCAGCGGGGTCGAACTGTGTCATCCTGATGATGTTGACACATGCAGCTTGACTTGTGTGATGTGACCAGAAAGCAGCATGTTAAACTCATCTCCTCCCTGTGTCTCCGCAGCTTCGGCATGGTGCTGACAAAGGGTCATGGAAGGCTGATGTTTGTAGGAAATGTGTCTGTTGAGGAAGGTACAATTTCACACAATTCCTTACATGATTGTATCATTGAGCTTGATTAGAAAGAAACTCTTAAGCTGAATTGCTTTTGAATTACTTGAACTACTGGTTTTATACCCACTCAGCAGCACAGCATCTTCAGTCAGCTGCTTTAATTGATACTGTCTGTGGCAGAAATAAGAAAAACTGTTTTACTAAATATAGTCTTTTTACCATCCTCTGCAGGGCTGCATGACCTCACCTCCCCAGACCTGAGCATTGCCTCCGAGTGGTACGTCTGAACCCTGAAACATGACTGTGACTATGAAACACGAACGGCTACAGTTTCATACAGCTGCAGCAGTTTAACTTTACATCAGTTTATTTGTGACAGTGATCAGCAAATGAGAGCAGCAGTTAAAAAAGAAAAACTAATTAGACAACCTAAAACATTTATATGTAATTGGAGTCCAAGTAGTGAAATGACAGGAGATTAGTGTAAAAGTAAAAAGTAAAAGTCAGGATCATTTAAGTCTCTAAAATCAAAGTCATGACAGTATTCTAATATACCAATATGTTTTACTCTGTGTTTTTTTTTTTACCAAAGATTTGTTTCAACAGTGAAGTGAAAATATTTAAAATATTTCATAATGTGTCTGTGTGTGTGTTTATCCTGATTGAATTAACCTTTTTCCTCAGGACTTACTGTGAGACAGACATCGACCCCGCTCACAGGAAATACTCACAGCTTCAGGTCGCCATACGTTACCTGCTGGGGCTGGAGCCCGAGCTTGAGTGTAGGTTTTTTAATATTGAAGGCATAATATATATTGAATTGATATTCCCTCTACTCTGAATTCATGTGAATTATAGGCAGAAATTCCTTTTGAATATTTTAGCAATGGTATTTCAGAGATTTCTCTCTTTGGAGTTGGACAGAATAAGAAAATGTCTTTTTAGAGAACTTAGGGGTTCTGCTATTTATTTGACCGAACCTGTATGTTAGGTGACGAGCTGTTGCTGCAGCAGATGCTATTTGACGCTGTGGTCACAGCTCCACTGGAGGCGTACTGGAACGCACTGATGCTCAACGACAGGTGAGACAATATGTATAACATCATCTGAAGCTTTAAGGTGCTATATGTTTTCTCTACGATCATTGTGGGGAGCAAGTGGTGAGGATGGTCTCTTACCAAGAGCTTCAGCCACCAACAGTAGTCAACAATTATGTTGCTGTCCAGCACTGGAGACAGCTCTTGAGTAAAGGAATAAAGTTTGAAGCTTAATTCTTGATTGATTGAAGCTTCATGCTCATCCTGTGTTGGGTCTCTGCAGGGTGGAGTCAGGGATTGAGACGGCCTTCCTCGGTACTCGTTCCGGCCTGATGAGGATCATGAGATATGCAGGAGTGGAGACCAGAGTGGCAAAGTAAGTTTAAACTGTTCTCAACAAAACAGCACGTTGGACAAATACCTACAGCACCTTACTAACCCTTTGAACTGTTGTATTTTATTATTATTATCGTGAAGGAACAATAGTTAATATGTATCTCTGCTTCACATTAAGGCAGCTGGTGTGTCATAGTCATTGTCCTAAACCATTAGGCCACTGGGACATCCCAGGGTGGACTCTTACAGCTGCACTGGGAACTGTTCTCTCCAACTGTTAGACTTAAGCTGGTCTTTGATATTACTGAGGTCAGAAATTGTTTTAAGATAAGCTCCCGTTTTCTACCTTTAAACCCGTTTCATGGTTGAAGGTACACAATGAGATCACATAAATTATACATGTACAACCAGTTGCCCAGTGAAGCTTTTAATTCATCACATTTCAGTGTGTTGTTAAATTAAAGGTTGTCTAAAAATGAAATTTCACCCAACAGAAGGTTCTTGACTCCAGTTGATAAAGACAACCTGTTCACCATTGACCACTTCCCTCTGTGGTACCGTCTGGCCGTGGAAAACACTCCTGGAAGCTTCTTCTTCTTCCCTGTCAACGACAAAGGTCTGTCTCTTACCTTCAATATTTATTTCTATTTTCACTTTTGTTTGTGAGAACATCAGATATTGTAGTCCTCATCAAATTTCTCTCATCAGCTAATCTTCTGTTAAATGTTCCCTCCTGACAGGAGTGAAGTATGTCATAGCGACGACATCAGTGACGGTGTCATCTGAAGGGAAGATGGCCATGGCAGGAGGTGAGTGTCATTGCTGCAGCTCTGATTCTGAACACTCCACATTCCATCTGAGGAACAGCTTTGGTTCTGTCAAATGGCAAATGTTACTGTTGTCACACTGATTAAATTTTTTTTTTTTAATAATATAAGAATCTGTTGCGTCAGAAAGTAAAGATTCCCAGCATTTGAACATTAACATACAGACACACAGAAGATGCTGCCTTCAACAAATAGTGATGATCTTGTTTGCCGATAAAACTTTGCAGGGGCTGTGGTGGTGAGAGTGTTGGTGGAGTTTCACAGGCCTGGCAAGTCTGAAGAGTTTTTATAGATATGAAATCCAGAGTGTGGATGAACTTTCCCCTGCATCATTTGGAAAAAAAAGGCCTAACCATCTGTTGTTTCTGTTGACATGTCAAGCGCATGTTTAAGAAGGATAAAAAACATTATTTAGATAAATATAGAGTTTATTATCTTCAGCTTCATTAACAGTTCTTCGGTTAAATCTGAATTATCACAGAAAATATGGACAAACTAAATAACACTTATGAAAGTTACAGCATATATACCGGCTGACAGCCTCAGATACTTTCAGTCAGGGTCTCATACTTTGCTGTGGTAAGAATATAAATGTTTGAGTCATTGAGCGTGTGAGTTTGTATGTGCTGGATTCCAAGCAGTTGTAGCTCATAGTTTGCCCTCTAGGAGGCAGTACAGCTCCAGTATCTGTTGGGATGCAGTTTATCTCAGTGGTGAAGCTTAAAGCAGCATCTCCCACGACAGCAGGATTGTGATATGATGTAAGGTTAAGTGTTCAACAGGGTATCCACCTATCAGAGGAACAAAGATGATTTAAATGGGTGATGTTTAAGACTTTAAATAAACTCAAGATCAATTTTTAGGGTTTCACAAACATTTGTACTGAACTTTTTGAACTTGTGCTTGTTGGGCTCAGATACAGACAGACGGTTTTATACTAAATTGGTTGTTTCATATTCCTAACAAAGAAACAAAAGTATAGATTAAGATAATTCAAGGTGCAGAAGTGCAAAAACAGCAGCTTCACAGCTGGCTGAGAGATGCAGCGTGGGGAATAACAATTCACAGAGCATCCATACATTAAAGGAAGGGCTGCAGCATTCCAGTTTCACTGAATCTAGTCCGTTCCATTAGTGGCACAATCGGTCCGCCCACAAATTTTCTGCACAATGGTAGAGCTGCAGGGTTTCTCTCTCCTGTCATTGTCTCATCAGTGATGGGAGGTCCGGAGCAGAGGAGCCAAATTGTCCAGGTAGGGTGAATAATCAGAAATAAGAAAACAGTATTTCAGAAGCTACTGATTCGATACCCGTGCACAATGCCACAAGTTTCTTTGGGTGGTGTCTCCTCCGGCGAGGTTAGGGGGGACAGTCCATCCTCCAGGTCAGTCTCAGCTCCACACTCGGCCATCAGAGGCTGCCCACGGCTCTTCATCTCCCTCTGGTATCTCGCCATAAGCGAGGCATAGATGCAGCCGTAAGTTGCCGCAACCACCATCATGACACACACCGTACCGCAAACCACCCCTGCAACAATTTGCGTGCCGTGTGCCCGGCGCACACTTACAGGGCGGTAACGCTGCCGAACACATTCCTCATTACTGCTGACCCGGCCGGGTGGGCAGGGAGGCCGGGTGGCATAACCTGACCCGCCCTCCTTGGCTGGACTCTGCAGGCAGTAGCTGAACATCTCTGCTGGCACACTGCGGATGTCCCTGCCCTTCAAATCCCCAGGGAGACTGCACTTCATGCCATCTACCTGCCCATCTGTAAAACAGATGGAAAGGGGAACGAAAGGGAGAAGAACAGGGAGGTGAAGAGGGAAGGAGGAAGACAGGAAACGAAGGGAGACAGGGCAGGATTGAAAGAGATTGAGGTCATTAAAAGGTTTTTTTAGATGTTCAATATACATCCATCCTGCAGAGCAGAGATTAAGTGCTTTGATTAAACAGCTTTTGAAGAACAGACTTGAAATACATACAATATATATATTTTCACCTGCACATTCTTAGACCACTGTAAGCCGACTGTTAAAACTATTAACATTCAGAGTATTTCAGATTTGAAGAGGTCTGCTAAAGCCCTGCTCACCCCTGTAAATTAACCACTCCATCCAGTGCTTGAAGTCCCTCAGCTTGCAGTCGCACTCCCAGGGGTTTCCTGCCAGCTGGAGCTGCTGCAGACCCACCACGGGCTCAAAGGTGACTCTGTCGAGGGCCACGAGCTGGTTTCTGGCAAGGGACAGCCAGGTTAGTCTCTGAAACCCATTCAGTAGGCCTTTAGGCAGCCAAAGGAGCCCATTGGACGACAGGTCGAGGCCTCGCAACCGCCACAGCCCCTTGAAAACCTCCTTGCTCAAGCCCACTCTTCCCTGGCTTCCTTTCAAGCCTTGTGTGGCCTCTGTGCTATTGTTGGGGTCAGATGACACCAGGCCTACCCCAAGGTAGTTAGTGGAGAGGTTGAGCCAGCGTAGGCCGCTCAAGCCTGAGAAAGCTCCCGGCTGCAGGGAAGAAAAGTGGTTCTGGGAAAGATCCAAGAGCTCCAGGCCGCTGTGGTTTGCCAGCTCTGTTTTGCCCAAAGAGGAGAGGTTGTTCTGGTGTAGGCGGAGTACCAGAGAGTCCTGGTCCAGCAGCGAGAGGATGGGTGTCAGAGAGAGGAGGCCGATGGCGGAGCAGTCAGTGGTGTTACCGTAGCAGGTGCAAACACCAGGACAGCTGTGGGCCGAACCCAACAGTCCAAGTAGAACCAACACCAGGGTGCACAAAGCTGCATAGACTGGAAATGATGAGAAACAAACATGAAATCAACTACAAAATTCAAAGACAGTTTATTTTTATAAAACTATGAAAATCTTGTGGTGATATCAGGAAATAAGCATGGAAACAAAGTACAGCAATGCTAAACATGAATAAGAATGGTTCTCTGTCTTCGTTTGTAATACCTATGACATCTTGATGGTAAAATAATTCAAAAAGACAATTTTCTTTGAGTACACCGTCGAGTTGTATTTCAGAGCTCTAAACATTTGTAAAAGCATCAGTTAAATTATTATTGTGTGAGGGAGGAATCTTCCTCCGAGCCTCACCCATCTGAGTCTTCATGTGACTTCGTCCATACTGGTCCAGGTTCTTCATGTCTGTTGCAGAAACTGCAGCTTAAGTCTGGCATCCGGCTGTCCTCACTTTCGATTGGGTCACACTGACCTCTGGCTGCCGAGGATGTCCTGAGAACAGAAAAGATAAAGAAAGGAGATGATGTTATTTGAGGAAAAATGGAAGTGTTTTTTAATTAAAAAATTAAAAAACATACAGATGAGCCTTTGGCATGTTAACGTTTGTAAACAGCTTTAACAACGTGTTCTCAAACCTTGGTTATGATCATCAGCTTGGACTTAACTATCTAGGCTTGTACTGATAAGTAGCTACACAGGACTTCTCTGATATGCTATGGTGAAATAAGGAGTGTCAGAGGTTTGCAATGGAGAAACGTTAAAGGAAGAACAACCCCGCAAGTTGAAGAAATGTGTTGCTTAGGTACTTGAATTATGAAACGCTGGCAGTCTTTTCTTTTCAGTCATTGGTGCATGGTAGTTCCAAGGTGGAAATACTTTTGCCATGATATTGATTGATTATATGAATCATTATATGTCCTGCATTATACAAGAATACCATAAATAGACTGATGATTTTCATTGGAGGGGAGCTTAAAGTTTGGTGATTGGATGTGTACAGTAACAGCAGATATTTTCTAACAGCTCTTCTTTTGCTCTCATGCTTTAAAACCTGCCTAACCTCCTTCTTGACGAGCTCCAACTTTTATCGTTTAACATTATGAGAAAACAAACTGGGCTAAATCTTTCGACTGGATTTTCTCCCACTTCACTTCTCCACTGTAGACATTGATCCTTTGTGAGCTTCGTTTTGATTTACTTTGCTCTCTTTCAGCTCCACATGTGTTTACATTCGTTCATTTCATTGGTCGTAAATGAAAGATTTACTTCTTTCCCTCTCCATGCTTTTATACTTACGGTCTGGTCCACAATTGAAACTGATGATTTTCTTCTCATGAGCCTGTTTCTCAAACCTCTCAGCAAGAGCAGCCAGCAAGAGTGCAACTCAATGTGTGGGATTAAGTGGAGTACTTTGAATGTACAGATTTAAAAACATCATCAGCTTAGGCGCTGCAGAGCTGATCTACAGTATATTGGCATTAGAGTTGTGATGTTATTCACAGCTTGTTTCTTCTGTCCTTTTCATTCGTTCTCGCTCAGAGAGAACACAAAAGGAGCCTCAGGATGAAGTAAAATAAACCTGTATTTTCCTCCAGCAACACCGGAGAAAAGTCAATGCCAATTTTTGTCTTCTGAACACCCACCTACAGTTCCTGTACGCTGCAGTTACTGTATGGCGTCTGCATTGTTCTCACACATACTATTAAGAAAACTGTTTTCTTGATATTCACTGTTTTCTTTCGATGATTTTAATTTCGTCACGATGTCTTTTGTAGTTTCAGCCTTTTCAACATGCAGAGGGAATTGCACATTTGAGATAAAGCTGAGGAAAAAAAGAAAAGTGCTGTCACTCCATCATCCATTTGTAGCTGCTCTAAAGAGCCAGAGAAACTCTGCCTCAAGGTCTTTCTTTTGTTGCAGGTCCTCCTGTTGTTAGGATGGCACAAAAATGCCAGTCACTCTGCTGTGGACTGCGTGAGGCAGGAAAGTGCCTTCAGGCCACAAATGACATTACAGAACAGGAGAAATTAGAATGCAGTTGGAGCAGGGAGATGATGTGGAGGGGGGCAAATGTGACATATGAATATCTGACATCACTTCACACAGCAGGAGAGAAGAAATTAGAATGTCACATAGTTCCCAGGAGATTTTCACAAAACAAACCCTCTACATGAGTATAGAGGATAGATAGTGATGCACAGTAAATTCTGATGCTCAGGATATTTGAAGACAATTCTTACAAAAAAAAGAAATATAAATAAAAATAACTATTGTTTCAATACAGTTCAACTTGTATAAAGAATTTTGGCTTCACACTGACATATGCACCATTTAAATACTATATTGGCTGACTCTAAATTAATGAATTATAAAGGACCCATATGTCATTTGATGAATTCAAATATATTTTAGATGTGATTGTCTCTGATATGAGAACTTATGCGTGACTGTCTATATTTATTTTGTCCTATTTCCTCTGATGAACTGATTTCTCTAGCAAGTGAGATGTTTATCAACAAGATTACCTGAAATCAGTTCTTAATTTAACCCAGACCAGGTTAAACCAAGGTGTCTAGCTTTCTTTTAAGGATTTACTGGCAGGTTTCAGGTTGAGCATTAGCAAAGCATGGAACTAATGTATCATGAAAAAAAACAGTGTCAGATCAGGCAACGAATGACAGCAATTGAGTCACATTAGATCAACTACAGCATCCTGTAAGAGGATGAGCGGGGCCTTTATCAGACCTTAGAGCATCTCGTGGAGGAGATGACTTCTGACCTTTTGCACTGTCCGATGGTCGTAACAACAGATGGCAAACAATCATGTTACACATTGTGGAATGAGGAGAAAGGATTTATAGAAAGAACACTATCTTGCTTCACATAAATCCTGCAGATGGAAGTTAATAATAAAAAAGTAACGTCTCCATCGATGTCTTCATCTAGAGACTTTACTTTGGGATTAATATACAAATTGGTCCAGCTTCAAAACACTCCACACACCAAGCGCTGCTTTCTTACACCCGCTCAAACATGCTAAAGCAAAAGAAGGGGTTGGTATGTCATCCTGTGTTTATCAAGAGCTGAAGTCGCTCCTGGCTGCTTTTCTGCTATTCACCATCTCCTCATTCATTCGTCTCTTTGAGCGTGTCCTCTCCTCCACCCGACTTTGCGTGTCTTTCTTCGGACTCGTGACTTTTAAGGACATAACTGAGAGCGCTGAGGCTGCTGGGTGTAGGTCGGGGATGTCAGCTTCACCTACACTCAAACTTTACCCAGCAGGTTTATCAGTGACTTAAAGTCTACAAGCTTGCGATGGAAAATCTATTGCAGTATTTTTGGGGTAAATTGTGCATTTGTTTTGGTTGGTGATGGCTGAAGATAGTTTAACATTGAGCAGAACACAAAGCAACTGTTAGAAGCCAAAAGACAGCGAAGCTCGGGGGGGAAAACAGACATGGGGACAAACAAATGCAAATTTGCATTTCAGAGTGAAAAAGTGCTACTTTGCTGCTTGGCACGATTTCTCTCTATATTGATGCTTCTCTTTGAGAGACCCCTCCTCCTTGTCCTACTTGGCATCTCTTTCTTTGGACTTGTGAGCGTAAGTGATGCTCTAATCCAAAGAAATCTACTGATTATGGCACTAAATTAGAAGTCTCGCAACTAGAGCTTGGTTTTTTTATGTCAATTGTAGCTAGGTGATTGAGTTTCTTTGTCTAAATTAATGTTTTTTTTATAGTAAGTCATCATGAAAAAAAGTGTTTAGGATGTCCATGTAAACAGAAAGGTCTTGTAGTGGGTTTTGCTTCTATGGAGAAAATGAATTCTCAGACGAGGGACTGAATAATCTTTCACAATGTCATAATATCAAATACCGAAAATCAGTTCCTGCCACTGTTCCTGCCACTTCAAACAATGGTGACTTTTCAGTCACCATTGTTGAATTTGGTGCCAACAAATACTAAACAGGTACTTGAACTAAAATTACTGTGACTCAAGAAAGAGATAGTACCCAGGTGAAGATCAGGTGTATGTGACCATTAAACCGACAGAGGCTGAGGGAGCGTTGTGTTGCTAAGGTTTAGGGTATCATACATGATACTGATGTGGGATTCAGGTAATTGTTAACTGACACTATTTCATGTGTGCATTTCCTTGTGCATCGAGCAAACTGATTCTGGTTGATCTCCTACTTGGGGTGGGAACTGGAATAGTTGTATATGGTTGATCTTCACGTCCAAAGTTTACTTTTCAAGAGAGCTGGAGAGTTTCCCAGGTTTAAGGTATGTGACATTTTTAAAGTTGGTGTTGGGCTACATGCTGGCTATTATTAAAAAGTACTACATGTAAGAGATCTCAATGTGGCACTTTCAAACTCATTGTTTTTCGAAAGGTTAGGTCATGTTTTTTTGTCTTATCCTCGTCATCTTCATCGTGGACGTCATGTGAAAAAGTAGTTGGAAGCGACCAGCTTGTCAAATGCACCATCAACCAGATTAGACGCCGCTCGCGCAGTATCGGCAGGTCACAGATTAAAAATGTGGTTTCAATCCCCGAGTGGGACAGATGGTATCGGAACAAGTGGTCCCAGCGAAACCCCCCCTCCCCACACACACCCACACTGGCACCCAACCCCCTGCTCACGCTGTTTTCTGTTTTTACTGTTGTGCCATCACCACACTCCTGCTGTTTTGTAGGTTTTCATTTAAAGCACTTTCACAGTACCAGGGGTAAATAGTGAACTGAACATGCTTCATATGTTAGTACTTTACTCCAGAGTTCAAATACATGTAGATTTGGATTAGGTTAATTGGAGACTAAATTGATTGGAGGTGTGCATGGTTGTTTGCAAGTTGGCCCTGTAATACGGCATGGCGACCTGTGCAGGGTGTACACTGCCTAATGTAGAGTTCCTTTGCAGACTAATATGTAAATGCTAAATAAATGGTTGCTACTGATTTTTGTATTTCTTTCAAACATCTTGCATCACTTCTTGTGAACTACTTTGGCTGGGTACCTCAACAATAGCTACTGATTGTCGATCAATTTAGGGCTGACTTGCTCAAGTGATGAACAGGGATGTAGCGATTAGTATAGATCACCCCCAAGACACCTGAAAAATATCGCTAATGGTATGGATTTTGTCTTTTTGAAGCATTTTTTGTGACAGTCCAGGGATTCTAACAAACTTTGTCACAAAAAGCAGCAAAAACTGTTCTTCTTTATGTGCAAAAGTGCTGGTTTATTTATCTCGATTAAAAACTCTGCTGCTGTTTGGAGGTTGTCACTAAAGTCCTGCCACTATGATGTTCCCTGCTTCATCTGCAGTGCATCGCTCCACTTTTCTGGGCTCTAACGTGGCATCCTGCTAGGTGCTTAATGGCCTCTGACAGGCGGCCT